TGTACCTCCATTCCATGCTCAGGCATTTTGGGTCCCACTGACAACTATCCAGTGAAGTGATGAACCACTCCCCACATACTGTAGTGCTACCAAACTATATGCTGTACTGTATGAAGGCAATAATAAATCACTAATAAATCACATTTATGTGCATTATTCTTATGATAGTGGTCTACAGACAGTCATCACAGCCTCTGTCCTGTGGGATCATGTCCTCGCCTCTGATGCTTGCTGTTGTTTATGATGACTTCTGTAGTTATTGGACTGTGTTTTCCGCTGTGTAATCACTGGATATCTCATAATAGCAGCTGGCTCCAGTGTGTTTACAGTAAGATAAGCAGCTGAGTGGAAAGTCCCTGGACTGCCTGTCCATGAAAGGACAGCATGAAATACTTTTTTTACATGGTTTTTAATTTTATCATAAACCACAAGGTATGAGAATCAGCATCATCCTGTTCTTATCATGTAGCTCAAGCATAGTGTCATTGTATTATTTCTACAGCACTTGTCTAAAAATTCTGGAAACAGGCACCTTTATAGTCTCAGTATGGAGTAGGTCTGTCCATCTACAGATAGATCCAAACACAAACTGGTAAATGGGTCTATAAAAAAATCACACACTGCAGGAAACCACAAAGTGTGCAAAGAGGATGTGAATCCAGCTGCAATTCTCAATGCTTACACTTTGTATTCCATTCATTTATTTTCCAACCCACTTATCCTATTGGGTTGCAGGGGGTCCAGAGCTTATCCTGGAAGCAATGGAAAGGTAACAACTGGACAGGAGGTCAGCCCATTGCAGGGCACACTCACACAAGCACACTTAGGGGCAAGTTAGTAACTGCAATTGGCCTTGGCATGTCTTTGGACTGTGAGAGGAAACTGGAGTGCTGAGAGGAAACCCCATGATGACATGGGGAGAACATGCAAACTCCACACACATGTAACCCAGACGGAGACTTGAACCCAAGACCCAGAGCTGTGAGGCAGCAGTGCTAACCACTGCACCACCATGCCACCCCACTTTATATTGATATGTTAAATGAAATTACCTTTTTGATTTCTAAAATGCTTCAATTCATTATAAATGTTTCCTTTAAATATCACCACGTAATTATGGGTATAGCTCAAATGATCACAGAACAAAATGGTGGTTTTACACTGTGCACAGGTTGAATGGCATACCACAGTGGCACTAGCACTATGCAATAGAGGCATGGGAGTGGATCATCATTTCAGTTGGGGGTGGAGCACTGGGGGCTGGCAGACTCCACACACCAAGCAGGGCTGTAGGTGTGAGGTCACACTGCTGCCCTCTGAGTCAGCATGTTGTCCACCATGCAATGTGGAAGAGAAGGCGAGAGGGCCTGTGAGTGACCTGTGACCTTCAGTGAGTGTGGAGGGGCGTGGCCCACGGCAGCTAGGGGGGTGGGCGCTGGGATGCAACTTGAGCTAGTGTGCTAATGTGCACAGAGCCTGAGAGCCTGAAACTTCACCCGTCTGTGTCAGCGGCGTGACCATGAGCTCAACCCCCCCCCACCACAGCGAGAAACCACATGTAGGCAAGAAGAGCAGATGGGGGGCCGATGACAGCGCACACTGAAACTGAGGCCATTCTGGGGGAGGGGGGGTCCAATGTACATGAACACTGACCCCTTACACACGCTGGTGAATGTAACACGCCTGACACACAGGTCCATGAGGCTACATGTCTGCCGGGGCTGTGACCCTCCTTCAGAGCTGCTCCCCGTTTATAGCCTCAGGATTGTAGCTGACTGACTCGGGGAAATAAGACCTGGTTTAGGTTTGGGATCTGAAATTTGGCAGCATCAGACTCCAGCATTAATGATGGATTTACATGGTCCTGCATTAATCTGCAGTTACAGGCTACAGGGTGTAAAACACAGAGATTATTCACCAGGACGCTGAATACCTGTATAACAGCGGCAGTCTGCTGTGTGTCGGTCCAGCTGCTATTTTGGTAAAAGAAAGTTCTGGATGAAAAGTCACAAAAGAAACTAGGGTAAGAAATATGGTATGAACATCATCAATATTCAAATAAACCTTTTGTTTAGCCCAGTAAATAATAATAATAATATATAATTAACCTTTATTGTCCCTCATGGGGAAATTGCTTTTACACCTCCCTCAACTTGCTCTTTGTAGAACAAGCTGTCTGATAAGGGCAGCCACCTGTTGGGGCACACAGGGAGCTGGGGGTTAAGGGCCTTGCTCAAGGACCCACAGACATGCTGAGGCTGAACCAGCGACCTTGTGATTACAGGCACACAGGCTTAGCCCACTGAGCCACATACTATCATTCCATGGAGAGCTGTTTTATTTGGCTGATATTCCCCAGCCATCCTGATTCACAGTGAAATGGGGATTGTATAAATGTTTATGCAACAATAAAGGTACTCAGCATTACTGTACTGCCCCCTAGTGTCAGGGAGGTCTGAGCAATTATCCCCGGTGCAAAGGCTCAGCAGTTACCACTGTGTGGACACCTCCCCCCCCAGCTGGATCTGCTGGATGCTGATGCATGATGGGTGCATGTGCTGAAATGTTCATACGTGAGCACATCCGGTAAGACTGACTTTCCTGCAGTGTCCTCTGGGGGTCACTGGCCAGTGGGGAAGCATCAACTTTAGAGCCATCGATTAGCAGATGTCTCTGTGGTGTTTTCCCTCCGTGTACGTGATGGCAGTGAGCAGGGAGTCCCGCGTCTCACTCGGGGTCTGTCCCCCTCTGTCCCCATCTCTGGCAGCCGCTGCTCTCGTACATCCTGAATGCTGGAGAGGAGAGCCGAGGGATTCAGGGAAAATGTCACATGATCAGTAATAATGATGTAGGGAAACGTCATCTAGACTGTCAATCTGTGGATCAGCATTTATTCAAATATACGAGCGTAAATCTCTGTAATTTTTAGCCATTTTCTCTTTAACCATCACCTTTGAGTGACATTCAGATAAAAATGTGAGAATTTCATCATTCATTCAACAATGAAATAGATATTTCAACTTCACCCCCTACACAAATTTCACCAAAATCAATATATTTTAGTAGAAGTTTTGAGAACCTCATACAACTGAGCTAGAATTTAACCAGCAAATTGCTAAGATTAAACACAGATGAGGTTTTATGCAGCCATTAAGAGGAAAGCATTATTTCCAGGACAATTCCACCAAGCCCCCAGCCCAGAATGCACAGTAACAATGGGTCAAGCTCATGGGGGGGTGGGACAGCATGGTCTTCACTAAAGTTCATGCACAGACCTGCTTGAGGGGGCATCTGGGGCTTACAGGAGCTGGGATGTAGACACCAACACTCAGGGTGGAATTAGGAGGACCTTCAGAAGCTGTGGAGAACATGCCCACACATAGACACACACATACACATCATTTTAATGTGATGTAGCAGCCTGCACTACATATTCTGTTTAATTCAGGTATCACTCTACTTCTGTGCAGTACATATATCTGTCTAACACATGTATGTGAAATTTAGCTCACACTCCTCAACCTAAACCACTCAATTAATGTTTGAGTGAGATAATAAAGACCAAATAGTGATAGATCACATTGTTAATGTTAATTCTTACCTTTAATTTCCCTGAATTTTTTGGTGTTATATGTACAACAAATAAATCCAATCATTAGCATCACAGCTGTAGGGATCAACACTGCAGGTATAGCAGATATAATGTGCATCCTTGGCATCAGTGAAGATCCTGAACAAACAAAGAGATTCACTCAGTTTGTCTGTAAGAACTTCAGCCAATCAGAGAAGGTTCTGGAATGGACCTGTACTAGATAACAGAAGAGCGAACTAACTTTGTCATGTAAATCCAGTACAATCAATCTCTGTTCCTGTTGGAAAGGTACAGACCACCTGTTCTCTTGCCTTTATTTAACTTTGTGTTTTATGTACTTAGTGTACACACTACATACTCTGTTTTTACTTTGGTCTCTTATTGTTTGCATTCTGTGAAGATACATCTGCAGTAAGTTATTGGAGAGGAGAAGCTGTGTTAGTGTCCAGCAGCAGCAGCGGACCATGAGGGACCCTCTGCTCTGAGACCTACCCAGCTCAGCACACAGCTGTTTGATGTTCCCCTCTGCAGCCTCTTTGCTGACTGGGTTGGTGGCCACACAGCTGTAGACAGGACTGTCCTCCCAGATCTCCAGGCGGAGAGACAGGCTGGTGCTGAGGTCAGGGCTGCTGGTTTGGTTCAATCTCTCAGTCCCTCTGTACCAGGACAGGGTGACATCCCTCCCATTCTCCACAAAACACAGAACCCAGCACCTCCCACTGGCTGAAAGATGGACTGATGAGCGTCTGGATGCTGGAGATGTAAGGCAGAGAGAGATGCGTCACAGGGGCAGTGTAGTGTCATGGTAAATGTAATAAATGTGAAAGTAAAGGAGCCCTGTCATGTAATCAAATCTCTCAGATGAGAAGAGTAGATCAGGTGTAGATCAGTATCAGATAGATGGTCACCTTGTAAGGATGTTATGTGCGGCCTGTTCACTGGATCTGTGGGTAAACAGGAGAGCAGATTATCTACAGACCTGCTGAGAGAGCAGGCTTATGGCAATAAGGAGAATGGGTCAGAACCAGAACGAGACTGGAAGGAATAAAGGTACCGGAGTGAACAAGTTTAACCTTTAGAAGACTGGAATGGGATGAAATGTAATTGAGTATTAAACTGATAATTCAGTAACACTTACAGTAAATTTCTAGAGTAAATTCTCTCTTCAGTATTTGTCCATTAATGATGTGTAGCTGGTAAATTCCAGCGTCACTGGTGCTGATGTTTGTGATGCTGAGAGATCCAGTCTGTGGGTCCAGCTGCAGCCGCTCTCTGAATCTCTCACTGATGTTGGTTTCAATCCTCCCATAAACTGATTTAGCTATTGTTGGGGGTGGACTAGAAGTTCCAAATGTCCACACTATTACAGAGTCATTCTGTAGTCCAGTAACACCAGTATGCAGAGTAACACTGTTCCCCAGTCTCTCTGTGATGGCCACTGTCTTCCCTTCCTGACCCAGCAGCCCTGAAATCACACAGGTGACACGTTACACTCGTATAATCTCACCTTTTCTGTTATACATTAATACAGTCACTCAGTATGTGCTGCTACGATAAATGTCATCATTTAAGCTCATTTTTCGATGCAGGGCTGATAAACGAGGGCAATTCAAGTACAAGTAATAAACACAGTAGTTTAAAAACATTTCACTCTGCTGCCTTGCTTCCAGTCGTTGGCTGTTTTTCTGTCATAATTTTCTCATAACTAGCGTGAAGTGACTGTACTACCTGCCTTCAGAGTCTGACAATAAAATGTGTTTAATTTAATTTTGCATTGCCAGTGCACAGAAAGTGTAGCCCACATAGAATTATTTCATACCCTGGTCGCCTCTGCATTTAGGGGGAGCGTATTTGTTTCTATGGGGGTATACGCTCCCCCCAGAACTGACACCTCTTCACTTACAAGGTTTTCTTTTTGGTGACATTGTGCTAACCTAACAGCATCCTTGACACTCCCCATGCCCCCATCATATCACTGTTGCGTGTGATGACTTCTAGGGGCATAAGCTGAAATGCCCTGAATTTGGCGAATGGCTAAGTTCAGCATTTCCAACATTTGTGTGTGGACGCCCTGTGAACAATGCCACCCTGGGTAATCAGCTATCTTCCTCTTGCGAGGATTTCTGTGGAACCTTTCTAAGGCGAGTGCAGCACTTATAATATGAAATTGCTTAAAAGGGTTATAGGTCTAGTACTGTACATTAGACAGATCCCAAACAAACAGACTAAGGAACAACTCCATCACGCTAAAAGCAAGTGTTTTCACTGTAAACACGATCACTTCTGACCATTTTCTTCACTCCTTATCAGACTTTTCCAGGCTGTTATGGACGTATGTTACGATAACTTACCTGGGATCATTAGGAGAGTAAGCAGACATCCCGCCCCAAACCTTCTGCTGTATTTCAAAGGCATGATGCATTATACCTGAAGTGTTTAGCAGTTGAAAACGCAGTTAATTCTCCTCCATCTTTGGCATTTTGTTTTCCCATATGAGTGTATGTGCGCTGCTATAGTGTGACTTGTGCCCCACCCATGTTCAAAACCACATCCCATAGTAACATGTTCGTATCATTGGCGAGCCAACGATGCAGTCACTGAAAATGCTGTTTTAATAAACAGAAATGAAAAGGTCCATAAGACATGCTTTTTTTTTGTGAATATTATAAAAAAGAGCAAAGACACAATGGAGCACCGTCATAATTTAATATAGATTTTGAATTTATACAAATTATTACTATTTCAGTATGAAGGCATCAGAGTTTTATGGAGACTTACAATGGTGGTTGAAAATCAAGATTGTAGGTTTGGTTTCTACATTGTTTGGGACCAAATCAGTCTCGAACCCCTGTCCCTCTAAACACACACTGTACTCCTACAATATTGGTTGGGACACACGTCCCTATCGTTCATACCCAAATGTAAGTCCTTTCCGAAAATGGGTGCATGGAAATGCACTTAAAACCTAGAGCAAGGAGCCAGCTGGAGCCCATTATTTTTAATAATTTATTTATTACGTGACGTTAGTTTCAGTTCCGTGCCTTGCGATGTTTGGTGCTTTACAGATGTACACAGAGTAATACACGAGCATTTAATCTAACGCCAGGTTACAGGTTACAGGTTTGACCGGTCTGTTAATTTTATTTCGTAACGTATACCGGTCCGCGGTACGAAGCTGTCATTTTCTTACTTTAACCGTCTTACGGGAAGATGGGTGTGTTCCGTGTGCATGTACAGACAGGCTGTATTTAAATTCAAAAACTTAAGCAAAACAAGATCAAGACAAGTATGAACTTGCTCCACGTTCGGATAGACCTTTATAAGCCCCATTATAATCATGGAACTGCGGCTCTCTTGTATTTTAGACCTGGGGAACCCAAACAGCAATAGCCTACACTACAAGCTATAGAGAAAAAGTAGCTAATTATGTCGAAGCTATTTCAGTATACTTAATAGTGTAATACTTCATATTTGTGCTTTAGGATATTCTTAAAGCAATTTAAAAATGTGAAAATGACGTTAAAATCAATATTGTTCACTATGTAATTTCAAATGACAAGGTTCCAAAAAATTTGATGGTGTAAACCAAGAGTACTTAACAATTACTTTGTAAAAATTAGAAGGGTTACAATAATAAAAAAAAGATTGATTTTGATAATCTGTCCAATAACTAAAGTACTCATGCATTTTAATGAAAGTGTCTAAAATATTGGTTGCCTCTTTGTAAAGAGAGAAAAATATAATACAATTTGTTATTGAAGTATTAATCATTATAAAACATTATAATGATTATAAAAAATTATAAAACAAAAACCGTATTACGACCACGATCTGTTCTGACTGACCGGTCATAAGTCGATTTGGTAGTAAGTCGGCCTTTATTTTATATGCAAAAAATATCATGTATAATAAAATTTTATCATCTCTACAATGTCTTGGTCTCTTTAAACCTTTTTACCACCATTTTCTTAGATCGTTATTGTTACACAGATGGATACAAATGTACACTGTACTGTAAATGCTGCGAACAGTGGCCTGAGCACTAGATGAATTAATGAATTCTGCATGTTCTTTGAAAATCAACATAAGCGAATAATAATCAGTGGCTGAAAGAGTGGGTAATTCTGAGCTGTAAAATATAGCCGATGATGCGATTATCTTTCACGATTGCTCGCTTTTATTTTTGATTAATTAAAAGGGGATGCGTGCAAGTTAAATAGAACTATCGACAAAGGATATACTGATGCATGTAAATGAAGATTTCAAATAGATGAATGTTTTAAAACTCCATGATAGTTATTCTTTTCGATTTTGATTGCTTTGATTGTTTATTTGGCGTTACTTTGTGTATTTTGCACAGTAACCATGAGTTCATTCCTCATAATATGGGAAACAGCGCCCCTGGAGTCAAGCATTACGACGGTCACAAAATATGGTATAATACGTGCCGTCGGGGTGGAAATGATCATACACTCACCCGGGACAGCACTCGCACTGCCAGCCGCAGTGCAGTCGTGGTCATATATTTGCAGTCTCAGAACGGCTATAAAGTCGATCAGTCAGGCTGGGGCCGTGGACCAGCAGGTCATTCAGGTAGACAAGGCAGCAGCTTTGTGGAATCCCTTCTGGCACCTGTTTCATTAGGTGTTCAAAGGTGGCAGGCGCATTACACAATCCAAAGGCCATCACACTGAACTGCCATAGCCCCTGCCCCAATGTGAATGCCGCCTTGTCTGCCAGCACCACCTGCCAGTACCGACTTTACAGATCTAGTGAACAGAACCACTGGGATCTGGACAGTGCATCGATTTCATTGGCAAAGCAGGGCAGGGGGTAGGAGTCAGACTTAGTGACACCATAGAGATGGCAGCAGTCCAAACAGAAATGCCAACTGCCACCCTTCTTGTGGACAAGGATGGCAGAGGTGGCCCATGGGCTAGAAGAGGGCATGAATACTCCTGCAGCAGTCAGCTAATGAATCTTCTCCTCTGCCACCGGATATTTGGCCAGGGGGAGCTGGTGGGTTTTCATACCCATACAGATAGGTATGGCACCGCTGGTGTTGATGTGATAAGGTACTGACTCCTTCCACATGCAATCATCCTCTTTCAACAAGATGAGGTCCTGGTGTTTCTGCAGCAACCAACGTAGCTGTCCCCTCTGTTCTACTTCCAGCTTGGTGCAGCTCTTGGAACACAAAGCCTCTAATGCTGCCTCAACAGTCCCGACTGTCTTACCCGACCACCTAGCGTCTTGGTCAGTCCTGTCTGCCTCGGAACTAGAAGAGGGACTGTGGTGTCACCCACCTGGTAGATCCACCCAACCAAGCTCAGGACAGCAATATGGGCAGCTAGCAGGTCCATCCCAGTGATGCACTGATCCTGGACTATGCTAGCCAGAACTCATGTTGCAGCTACAGTGAGCTAATCTGGATCCGTAACTCCCGGCATCCCTGCATCTCCTGCTCCTTCCCACTTACTGGATGCGCTACAGGTAGCGATGATTCTGCTCCCTTTTATTCTCAGTGCCAAGAACCTGTGCTATCAGTTTCAATTTTATTTGTATATCACATTATCACAACATTACATTGTCTCAAAGCACCTTAAATTATCCCTGGTCCATGCCCACAGATGGCAAGCCAAAGGAACAGTGGTAAGATAAAACTCCTTAGTAGTGTAAGCAGAGAAATCAATGTTTAATTTTTATATGTATAGGTTAGTTAATAGGGGAAATCCTCGCAAGTAACAAGGGGAACATAATTGAGTTTGCTGTTGTTACATGGAGGTTTTTTTGGGAGAGAACGTAGTGAAGTGAGCGGCAGAGTAGCCTGGTTGTGACCTCCAGAAAAACCAGCATTATTAAAAATACCACCAAAGTGGTTAAGCGAGTCCCTTGTCTTCAATCTACCTCCCGCGAGCCAATGACCACGTCCTCCGGGTGAGTTCCATTTTAACTACCTGAGACCACATACCACCAATTTTTAAACATTTCAGTAGGAAGAAACCTTATGAGCAACCTGACTTAAACAGGGAGCCCATGCTCCTAGGGCTGGCAAAGAATGTCAAATTAACAAAATGACAAAAAAGTTGTACAGTTCAAATATTTATGACTCGAGTTTAAATGGCACATTATGGCAGGCAGGTGCTGGTGCTGCTTCTGACTGCAGGATGAACAGTGGTACAGCAGCTGGGCATATAGGAGAGACGTCACAGGCAGCAGGGTTGGCAGGATATCTTGAATTTTCCCAAGTCCCAGGCAGCAAACCCAAAGTGGGATGGGGGGGATAAAAAGTGCATTAGCCAAAGTAGGGGAGACTAGAGGCAGTGCAAACAGGTGAGTTCAATATCTAAGCTCCAGCAGATATGGCTGTGGCAGCATAAGTAGAAAGGGGAGGCAGGTGGGAATGCAGGCATGGGGTGTCCCTGAAACGTCAGCACTCCAATTCCACAAGGGGGTGTGAAGCTAGAGTGACAGCACTGACAGTTCAGTTCATCCAAAGCCAATGGCACCGATCCCCACCCAGCTCTACACCTCACACTATAGGTCTAACTGGGAGTGAGCGGTTAGCTAGAGCTGGAACTAAAGTCCCTATAAGCTAGACTAAACAAGTGTGTTTTTAATCTATGCCTGAATGGTAGACTATTCCACAGCTCTGTAAGAGAACATTCTGCAGCCTGCTGTAGTTCTTTCTGCTCTAGGTACCTATATATATCCTACATTTACATTTACGGCATTTGGCAGACGCCCTTAGCCAGAGCGACTTACACAAGATATCCTGCTCCTTGAGACTGAAGCAAGTGACTAGGGTTGAAAGACACCAGTAGAGCTCTAAGATATTCTGGTTTAAGGTCGTTCAGTGTTTTATATAGAAAGTTAATAGTAGTATTTTGTAGTCAATCCAAGACTTAACTGGAAGCCTTTGAAGGTAGCATAGAACTGCGCTAATATGATGATGTATTTCAGTTTTTATAAGAAATCTGGCTGCTGCATTTTGTACCAGCTGATGTTCATTTAAGGATCCAGATGGCCAACCAGAAAGGAGGGCATCACTGAAGTTCAGCCTGGGTGCTATAAAGGCATTTATAGGCCTGTAATAGTTTTTCTGATATCATCTCCCCAATAGACGCCTCTCTAGATCATCCAGTCCCATGGCATCTCTTACGCTCACAGTAGTCCAGCTTGGGTGCTATAATTCATGTATTAGTTTTTCTGCTATCATCTACCCAATGGACGCACAACAATGAAACATCTACTGTGGCACATCATCGAGTGCCTGTCTGCTAGTGATAGAAACTGTCAACCACGCTTCAGGAACGAAAACCCCACGTACTTGGTTCACAGAGGCAGAAGTGAGATCTGTGGATGTTTTAAACTAAAACTCTTTCTTTCAGATGAATGTGTACATACTGCAGAGCATGAGCAGAAGAAACTTTAGCAAATCCTACATTTTTACCCATCAGACATATTCACAAAAGAGCTGAAAATCCTTAATAAAATACTCCATGGAAG